TCACACTCCTCCCTTCCTCCAGCCCATACTTCTCCCCCATGAAGCCTCAACCATCCCTTCACCTCGTCCCGCTCCAAGTGAAGACCAAGGTAATACCCCACAGGTCCAAGGGCGTTGCATTGAAAGGTCTCTTTTATCTTTCCTTGCACCTCCTTGATCCTCTCCAGGGATGGAGAGAAGAGGAGGATGTCATCGACATAGACAAGGAGAAACACCTTCTCCTCCTCCCCCTTAGTCGTGAAGAGACTCTCGTTGCACCCGCTAACTTTGAAGTCAAGAGCCTCCAACGCCTCCACCAGCCTTGCATACCAGCACCTTGGAGCTTGTTTGAGGCCGTAGATGGCCTTGTTGAGCCTGCAAACACGTCCGCTCCCATCGTCATACCCCTCAGGTTGCTTCATGTAGATCTCCTCATCTACCACGCCATAGAGAAACGCCGTCTTTACATCCATTTGCTCCACCTTCCCGCCACAAACGGCAGCAGCTGCTAGCAACACCCGGAGCGTAGGAGCCTTGGCAACAGGAGAAAACACCTCTTGAAAGTCAATCCCCTCTCTCTGTTGAAAGCCCTTGATCACAAGCCTTGTCTTGCGCCTCTCCAACTTCCCCTCCGCATCGGTCTTTACACGTAACACCCACGTGCAATCCAACGCCTTTATTCCCGAGGGAAGATTGGTGAGGGTCCACATTTCATTCTCCATATGGCTCTTTAACTCATCCTCCCTTGAAGCCAACCAAGCCTCTCAATCATCTCCAGCGAGAGCTTCCTCTATTGACGCCGGCTCATGAGGTAAGTTGACGCCAAAGCAACAAATCTGCTCCATCTCCCCCTCGGCTCCCTTCTCCTCCTCATCTTCCTCCTCCTGGACCAGCAATGCCTTGGGATCCCCAAGCCTTTCATACTTGAGGAAATCCCTTGGGTGGGCAGCTCTCTTGGGCCTCTCCTTGGCTGCTCCTTCCTTGGCTCCACCACGGACAGCATCACGCTTGCCTTGGGTTGTGCGCCTTGGTGGAAGCTTAGGGGATGGTGTAGGCTGCTGCACCTCCTCTTTGGTATCACCTCTCTCAGCTATAGGGGCCTCCCCTTGCTGCAGTACTCCTTTCACATATGCTGCCTCTTCTTCAGCACCTCCCAAGTCATGTGACACCTCTGTCAACTCTGAAGATGAGGAGAACTCGATGGGAATGAGAAGTGGGTCGTTCATTCCCACCTCTATTCCAAGCAGAATGGTGACCTTGCTCCTCCCCAACTCTGACTACTCTTTGAACATGAGCCCCTCCATGAACTTGGCATCTCTGGTGGTGAAGATGGTGTTGGATTTTGGGTCCCACATGAGCCAGCCCTTGCTCCCCCGTGCAAGACCCAAATGAACAGCCAACACCGCCGCTGCTTGAAGCTTGTCACGCTTCTCCCTAGGGACATGCACGAGCCCCATGCACCCGAAGACACGAAGCATATCCACCAAAGGCTTCTTGCCACTCCACTTCTCCATAGGGACCCAATGCTGACCTCCCACATGAGTCAACACCCGGTTCTTGATGACGGTAGCATGACGAATAGCGAGGGGCCAGAACCGCAAGGGTAGACCCGAGTCCACCAATATCGTTCTCCCGCCCTCTATGATGGCCCGGTTCGCTCTCTCTGCCACGCCGTTGGATTGAGGGGTGTAGGCCGTGGTGAGCTGCTGCTTGATGCCGTGCCGCTTCAACCAGCTCCGGAACTCCGCTCCCAAAAACTCCCCACCACGGTCGCTACGAATTGCCTTCACCCGCTTGCCGCTCTCTCGCTTCACCATGGGCAGCCACTCAATGATGACCCTTGCAGCATCACTCTTATTTACAAGTGGAAAAGACCAGGTGAGCCTAGTGTAATCATCCACCATAGTCATGGAATACAGGGCCCCACCATCTCCCTTCACCTTCATCGGCCCCACAAGATCCACATGCACGAGCTCCACCGGGTCACTTGACTGACCCACCGCCGAATGGAAGGGAAACCGTGAGAACTTGCTAGTCAAGCAAGTCTCACAAGAGCCCACCTCCTTGGGCTCCCCCTTTATCCTCAGCCCCTTGACTCTTTCCTCCTTAAACAGCTATTGTAATTGAGATAGCGCAACGTGGCCAAAGCGACGGTGTGCGGTGAGCCAATCTGTCTCACCCGTGCTAGGAGTTACACTTGGTAGCGCACCCTCCCCATGCACAAGCAGCCCACCATCACTGCCATCACCACCTCCTCCACTGGTTACGCGGCTTGCATGCCCCGCTTACAGCTTCAGCAGCCGAGCGCGCTGCCGCCTCCTTCCATGGCAGCACCGGTATCTCCCAGAAGGACCGGTGCATGTCCTTGCCGCCTCGGAGGTCCCAGAACACGCGCCCATCCATAGTTGCCTTGAACAACTTTGTGCCCATCATCTCCATCTTCATCCATGCCTCACTCAATGCCTTGGTAGAGAGAAGGTTGGCACATAGTCCAGGGACAATAAGAACACGTTTTAGCCCCACAAGCCCTCCATCCGCACCCATAAACATGGCTCTCCCCTCGCCACGCACGGGTACAACTTGGCCGGTGCCTGAAACAACGGTGGCTGCCTTTGATGGCCTGACTTCATCCAGCAGATCCTCTCGGTTGGTCATGGTCATGAAGGCTCCTGTGTCGATGACCCAGTGGGAGGAGCGGTGAAGAGCAACCTTGCTGGCCGGTACAACCATGTCCTTGGAGCATATCACCATGCCACCATGTCTGCCAGCACCTCCATCGCCCTCCTCACTGCCCATGCCTTCTCCCATAGCTCCATGAACACCCTTAGAGCCTTCAATTGATGGCGGACAAGGCCTCCAACCGTCATGTAGCTTGCGACACTTAAACCACGGGTGACCTTCGTTGGTGCAACCCTACGGTTTGCATTCGGCTTGTTGTCCGTGTGCGTGCATACGTGTGTGCATGGAATGGTATGAGGGCATGAGATAATATATATTTCATGTTTTCAATAGTGTATGTATGATGAGGCATGATTTTGAATGTGTGTGTCGAGTCAATAGCGAGTTATCGCTAGTCACGTATCATGTAGTCGTTTGCGGTTTTCTATTTTGTCGTGTGTGAGACATTCGGCGTGTCGCAGATGCCCATGAAACTTCCTAAGCAGGGAGACAGCCTTGTAGCACTTAATATTCTCAGGGTAGTCCACACCAGCAGTAAAGAGCTTCGCATAGAGGTCCCGGAGTTGATCGAACGCTCCTTGCACGGCATCACCCTCGTTGATCTTCACCGCATGGAGTTGTTTCTCGAGCACCACCACCATCGCTTCGCTGCTGGGGGCATGGACATCCTTCAATATTTTCCATGCCTTGGGACCATACTGGATATCCATGATGAGATGCTTGACGTGGTGCAGCTGGTTGGATGAGAGGCATTGAGAGAGAAGGAAGAATCCATCCTTGGATTGGCGATCCCATTACTTGGTCGCTCCTTCGCTCGCAAGCCTCTTCAATTCTCCATCCATCACTTCAAGCAGCTCATAATGGTTAAATAAGAGCTCCATCTTGAAGCTCCATGACGCCCAATCCTCCCCAGAGAACTTTTCCAGGTTGAATGCCTTCACATCATCCTTGGCTGGTGTTGAAACGGATGCTATTGGTGCATATCCGCCTTCAATGCCTCTTCCTGCTTCCCCAGCGCCTCTCACGCCACCACTTCCACTAGGACCAGCTGGAGCAGAACCTTCAGCCTCCATGTTGATCCATGAACAGAGAAAAACCGCTCTGATACCACTTTTTATAGTCTAGAGTCCACTTAGGGGTCGCGGATGCCCATGAAACTTCCTAAGCAGAATCTGATGACTTCGAACTGCCTCTGTTCAAAACGCCGTCAGGATCAGCTCCAAAAATATACGAAGCTGAAACTTGGAGAGACGTTAGCTTCAAATGTCTGCTTTGCAACGGTATATTGCTTGCTTTCATCAGAGATGTATGCTCTACGCAGTGAACAAAAACGTAAACTCTGCTGAAAACGTGTAGTTTCATTGATTCAAGGAAGAGGTAAGTACAACATTGCCTAGGGGACTCTTAAGGGGTTGGGACCATCCTGGGAACTCAAAGAAGATTGAATCAATGATGAGAAAGGCTAGAGAAGGTTGGGAAAAGTTCTAGCTAGGTCAGCAAAGCCAACCACACTTGGATGTTCAGTGTTGTACTCAAGGCTACCAATAGTGAGTCAACTCAACCATGAGGCAGTTTGTCTTCCCACTTGCACCCTCTTGCAAGCTGCTTCCAGGAAGTCCACACTTCTCAAAAGGAGGGTGGTAGAGTCCCACTTGACCACCTGTACATCTTGTCCCATTCTCTGTCCTTGCACCATTGGCATGGCAACAATGAAAGGGTGGCAAGGAAAATGCTGCCAACAGTGCACCATGACCTTGGAACAGTAACTTTCGACAGCTGTGACGTGCTGCTCCGATGCTGGGTTGTCCTTAAACTTGGTGATCACCTGAGAAAAATGGCAAAGGACTGCCACTATGATTTTCAGACCAATCAGAGCTTGGTAGATGAGTCAGCAGCCGAAATGGTGAGCTTGGGTGTTACAAAAAAAGAGTAACACACACTTCCGGGATGCCATAAGTCTTGAAACTAAAAATGTTGCCATGCTTTGTAAACTGCTTCAACAATTCTGAAACTTTGAGGGTGTGAAAAACATATGTTGAAGTATCTCCCGACAAAATTTCAGAATCTGGGCATGCTTGTAGGCTGAATGGGAGTGCGATGACCGTGCCACTATAGTGCTTTGGCACAACAGGAAGAACACGCGCCCTTGCAGGGATCCCCCGTCGCCCAGCTCCTCCCACCCCCCCTCTCTCTGCTCTCGCTCGCCTTCCAACAAGGGCCGGCTGGGTGGGATGGGAAGCCAGCCTTGGGAGAGAAAGTGGGAGGCGAATGGGGAGGGGGGGAGGGACGGCACGATGGGGCAGACGAATAGAATTGGCAGGGGACTTTTGCTGGTTGAGTTGCTACTGCTGCTGCTGCTGCTGCTGCTGTTGCTGCTGTCGCTGCTGCTGCTGCTGCTGCTGCCAGTGGAAGTGCTGCTCATATTGGTGCTGGTGCCCCCCGAGCAAGGTGGTAGGGTGGAAACGAGGTGGGGGATAGAGGAGGTGAGGAGCTCCCAATTGGAATACACCTGCATGCATGCATGGGAGGAGCAAGGGGTGCAGCTGCTGTGAACGAGTATGCAAGTGGCAGTGAGAGGCGTCGTGAGCAATCTGAAATGGATTATATGTACAAAATGTAGGGGCGTGCATGGCATGGCAGAAGGGAGTCCATGAACGGCCAAGAGGCATGTGGGATTGTAAGTTGAGGGTGATGGCAAATCGTCAGACACCTGAGCACATTGAGAGCTTCAGATGGGCGGGCGACGTGGGTACGAGGGAGAGGCAGGGAGGAGAGGCTCACTTCAGGCGGTCTGGATCCGGGAAGGATGGCAAAGACATGGCGGAACAGACTGCTGCTGCTGCCCTGGCACGCTGCCGCGCTCGGGGCCGCTCCGTGTGGTGCCGTGGTATCAGAGCCCCCCGCGCTGTGCACATCAGGGGTGGTGCGGTGGTGCAGCCAAGCGGGGAGGTGGGTGTGGATGAAGGCGTGCAGGTGGGGCGATGGCGCCATGTGATCCATCATGGCGTTGCCCAGGTACGCCACCTGCCATGCCATGCATACATGCCATAGGTTCCGAAGGTACGGGTGCAATGAAGCATGTGATACATGGGGTTTCATGGGGTTATTGAGGAATGTCACCTCCCATGCCATGCATGTCGTGCACGTATGCACATGCCATGGGGTACACATGGTGGGCGCTGCAATGAGGCAAGGGATGCATATGGGTTTTCATGGGGGAATTCAGGTATGCCGCCTGCCATGCCATACACGCACACAGCATGGAGTACTGGTGGTATGGGCAGAACGAGGCATGCAACATGTGGGGTGCACCATCACCTGCCATCTCGCCACATGCCATGGTCCAGCAACCCTGGTCTTAACCCTCTTTAGGCCATATGGGATTTCGAACGCTGGTGTAAGCTAGCTATACGGGATTTGTACTACTGTGGTTACCTATATGTGCTCTGGCCTAGCTTCCTTCAACTGTTAGTTTACCACATGGAACACTGACGAGTCAGCCAACAGAGCTTGCAGGAATGTACACTGGACCGTCTACTTGCCCAGACGGCACTGTGCTGTCATGGCTTGACCCTGCTGCACGCACGTTGTCCCTTGTCAAATCGCTCTCTCTGGCTTAGCTCTGTATGTAGCTTGGGCAAACGTGTGACTCAGTGGGCCTCGTTTGACTTGAGCTGGATCTTCTCACCTGGTCTATCAGTGACTCTGACTGGCTTGTTTTGACCCTTTTGACTAGAATCAACTTGCCTCACATTCTTTTGGACAAGCATGGGCCCCACTTGACTCACCTTGCCCTGTCTGAACAGCCCTTGCTCGCTCGCAATAGAGGAGGAGGAAGCAGAGGGGGAAGCTTCCTCCAAGGGCATGTTCTGAGCGAGCACCTGACCAGTGAGCCTGTCCCTCACTGCCGCCAGCCTGGCAGGGGAGAGGGGGAGGGGGGGTGGGGGGTGGGGTAAGGGGTGGTGGTGGAGAAGCAGAGCAGGACGGTGGAAGGTGTGCATCCTGGTCTCGCACTGGAACAGTGAGACGGACTGGGTGGGAGAGACGGAGTGGAGTAAGGCAGATGGAGGTGTCAGGACAAAGAGACGCGCACTCACCTGTAGCATGCATGCGCCATGAGCCATTGCTCCCACGGGTGGTACACCCCCCTTCCGTGCCACCACCTCTCCACTGCCAGACGCATGGCATGGCATGGCATGGCAGCACGGGTGGCAGGAGAGTGCAAAGGGAAAGTGGGGTGAGGGAGGAGGGAGGGGTGAGAGGAGGGAGAGGTGAAACCCTCAATATCCAAATGCAACATGCCCCCCACCTTGCCAGGCCACCCAGGCTGCCGCATTGCGCGAATCCCTCACCCGCCACGCTCTCACTGTACCTCACTACACCATCAAGTCACAATCAAGTAGTGAATCGCGGCTGCTTGCGTCACCTCACCACAGTGCTACACAGCACAACGGTACAGCATGTGCTGGCAAGACACGGTACAGCACACCTCCTCGCATGTCTCCAGCTCCGTAGCAGCGCATAGGAATGAATGCCCTTGACAATCTTCTACCCACCCAATCACTAGCCTCACTACCACTATGGCTTCCTACCCACCCAGCGGTTCAGCCTGAGATGGCAACAGGTGTGTCCATCGGCCCCTCAAGCGTGAACATTCCTCTAGGCCGTTTCTGGGAAGGAAGGCAATGAATAGTGAGTGCGCGCCTGCTGGGATCCTCACCGAATGTTCTGGCGTGCGAGAGCAGCAGGCGGGCATGGTCCCCTCGGATGTAGAACTCGCTCTTGGCCGTGCCCATGAAGGCCACGGGCAGTGCCGGTGGGCATGATGCTTCTGGGGCAGTGCTGGCCGCAGCAATGGCAGGGAGCGTGGTGGAGTGGTGGGAGGCGAGGCAGGCGAGGGCAAGGGGGAAGACATCACCCATGGCCAGGATGGCGCCTGGCGTGCTGCTGTGCGCCTCCACCCACCGCTTCATCGCCTGCCACTGCAGAGGTTTGATGCGGTGGGAAGCACTGAGGAGTGGTGACAAGTGATGAAGGACGGTGCAAGTGAAGCGAGGTGCGGAATGAGAGCAAGAAGACGTGGGGAGAGGTACATAGTAGGAAGGGAGAGAAGACATGAAGCATGATGGAATAGAGGCCCCTGTGGCCTCAGCTGGCGAGCCGCACATACCTGCTGCACTGTGAGGTCCATCAGGCTTGCTGCCACGTCATTTGCCAGCTGGCGGCCGTCCATGTAGATGAACTTGCACCACATGGCACACACAGGCCATGGCGCATGCACTCACGCACCCAGCACACACCCAGCACGCACCCAGCACGCACCCAGCACGCGCCCAGCACGCACCCAGCATGCGCCCAGCATGCACCCAGCACGCACCTAGCATGCACCCAGCATGCACCCAGCATGCACCCAGCATGCACCCAGCATGCACCCAGCATGCACCCAGCATGCACCCAGCATGCATCCAGCATGCACCCAGCGTGCACCCAACGTGCACCCCAGCGTGCACCCAACGTGCACCCAGCACGCACAAAACAGTACGGATTGTGAGTGGGAAGAAGCTTCTGGTGAGGTATGAAGCCACCAGCGAATAAAAGGGATGGGATAAACCATGGCTGAAGAACCAGAGGCAGTAGCTTGTGGTTGCATATTCTTTTGTTTTTACTTCCCAATCATCCCCCTTGTTTCTCGTCCACTGTACTCCGCTTCAACCAATACAGCATTGCTTGTGCGGGGCTTGGTCGTGGCATGACATGCGCATGGCACTGTGCATCATGAACGGGTGCATTCAAAGCACGAGGCACACCAGCACAAGCGACGACGGCTCACACGCCACTGGGCATGGTCTTGGCTCACCCGCCACTGGGCATGGTCTTGGCTCACCCGCCACTGGGCATGGTCTTGGCTCACCCGCCACTGGGCATGGTCTTGGCTCACATGCCACTGGGCATGGTCTTGGCTCACCCGCCACTGGGCATGGTCTTGGCTCACCCGCCACTGGGCATGGTCTTGGCTCACCCGCCACTGGGCATGGTCTTGGCTCACCCGCCACTGGGCATGGTCTTGGCTCACCCGCCATTGGGCATGGTCTTGGCTCACCCGCCACTGGGCATGGTCTTGGCTCACCCGCCACTGGGCATGGTCTTGGCTCACACGCCACTGGGCATGGTCTTGGCTCACCCGCCACCGGGCATGGTCTTGGCTCACCCGCCACTGGGCATGGTCTTGGCTCACCCGCCACTGGGCATGGTCTTGGCTCACCCGCCACTGGGCATGGTCTTGGCTCACCCGCCACTGGGCATGATCTTGGCTCACCTGCCACTGGGCATGGTCTTGGCGGGGCCGATGGTAGCGGTGACCTATGGGCCATGACTAGGGGATGCACGGACAGCCACGCTTCAAGGCACGAGTGCCAACGCTCGTGGCATGCATTTCATTCCAATTCGGCCCACGCATGTCGCATTCCTCCACATCACTTGTTCCCATGCTCTCTGCTTTTGTCTCCCCTACACCCGCATCTCCCCCGCACCCGCATCTCCCCCGCACCTGCATCTCCCCCGCACCTTCATCTCCCCCGCACCTGCATCTCCCCCGCACCTGCATCTCCCCCGCACCTGCATCTCCCCCGCACCTGCATCTCCCCCACACCTGCATCTCCCCCGCATCTGCATCACTCTCAGAATGCTAACTGCGATCGTGTCCTTCCCATGCCCGTTGCTCACACACAGCAGATGGCACTGCCGCCCTGCCTCCCCCCCTCCTTCCCCCTCCCTTGTGATCCCTCGCACCTTTCAACCTACAGCTGATGGAATGCGATGGATGTGAGGGTCATCTCTGAAAAAGCTGAGCTAGACCCCGTTTTCCGGAATAGAATGTCCCCGAGTGTGGCTGTGGAATGGTTGGGATTAAGCATGCGTAGAGCACGCATGAGAGCAGGGGTGATTGCCTGAATCCGAGGGCAGAGGAGAAGGCAGTGGTCTAGAGTCTCCTCCTCCCCACAGTACGGGCATGTGGGTTTTCCGCTGAGAAATGCAAGACGCTCCCCCACTTGCAAATTGAGGCCGTGGATCCGGATGAGGATGTCACGTGGACGGCTGGGAACTGCCAGCGAGTCCCGCGTCATCACCACCCGCCTCCAGTTGATGTGTCTCCCCCACCTTTCTGCCCACTTCTCTCTTTTGCGCGACTCCTGGTATGCCCCTTTCCAACAGTCCTTCATCCTCCTGAGGGGGACCACCTCCCCTCCTTCCAGAATGGGTGGTGGGGACCACCACCCCCCCTTCTTCATGGGGTTCTGTTCCGTGAGATAAAGGCCCACTCTCTTGGCGGGAAGACAAGTAATCACGATCTCCGTGTCTTTCACGCCGATTCCACCCGCCTCCCTGGGAGTGTGTAAAAGTGTTCTGCTCCAAAGTATGAAACCCTTCACCGTCGCCACACGATTGCCCAACGTAAAGCTTTGCAGCAGCCTGATGATCTCTTCCCAAATCTCCGCTGGAGGCGGGTATACGTGGGCTTGAAAGGCTAACAGTGGGGTGATGTTGCAGTTAACCACTGTAGCTCTTGCAGTGATTGTGAGGTATTTCAACTGCCATTTCGTTAACTTCCCCGTGATGTGCTCCCATGCCTTCTCCCAGGTTGGTAGTCCGCTCCCCGATGGCGTCACCCAGACCCCCAGCACCCGCTCTGCTTCATCTGCACCAGCCCACTTGAAGCAGCTCGAGCCATCCCCCTTCACACCCAAATTCTCACTCCAGACGCCACTTCCACTCCTTTCCCCAACCAGCCGTTGATCAACATTTTTGTCAATGTGTTGTCATGCAGGCCTCTTATCCAGCCAACAAACCGCTCCGGAAAACCCATCTTAATCAGCACTTCGAAAAGAAAGTCTCTCGACACCGAGTCAAAGGCCTTTTGGAAGTCGACCAAGAGTAGGTACCAGTCCTCGTTGCCATTCTTCGCGCCATCTATTACATTCGCTACCAACGCCACCGCATCCGAGAGACGCCGCCCCATAATAAACCCATACTACTCCGGAGAGATTACCAGGTGAAGCACCGATTTCATCCTATCCACTACCACCCTCGACTGAACCTTGTAAGTGAAGTTAAGCAGGGTGATCGGCCGGTAGTTGTTGATCTCGTCCTTCTCGCCTTTCTTATGCAACAATATCGTAACCGCTTCCTTGGTTTCTGATGGCAGGGCAGCAGACGCCTCAAAACATCTCGCCATGGTCATGAAGCTCTCCCCCAGTAGATCCCAGTGTGCCTTAAAAAACTCCTTAGGCAGCCCGTCACCGCCTGGCGACTTGTTTTTTCCATCGCCGCAAACGCCCTTTTGACTTCTTGCTCGGTCCATCCCGCCGTCAGGATTCCCGCTACCTCCCCGTCCAGCCGCTGCAATGAGGTGAGATCCCAACTCGAGAAATCCGCGCGGCAGTCCTTCCCGAATATTTTCTTAAAGAAAGCCGAGGCTGCGTCCAGGATCTGCTTCGAGCCGGTAACCCAATCTACCCCGTCTTTGAGCTCCTTGATCCGAGTGCGTGCCTTCCGCGCACGGACCTTCGCCGACAGATGTTTCGAGGCCAATTCCCCAGTGAGTTCCACCGTAAGGCCTGCCTGCAGATACAGCCGCTCAGTCCGTGAAGCGTTGTATTCTTTCAGCTCGTCTCCTTCACCTCCAGTAGTGATCTCATAACTGAGCAGTCTGGATTCCGCATCATTTCCTGCTTCAGCGTCGCCACTGCAATTGTGAGGTGCAGCAGAGTCGCCTTAACCCATTTGCTTCCTCCTTTGCATATGTTCTGAGCCCAACTCCCAGGCTCTTTATGAGCAGCTCGAAGCTGCAACCGTCATTCACAGGGGTGTGCCGCACCATCGCCTCAATAATCTTCCGAACGCCTGGTCGGTGAATCATCGAAGCATGTGAGCGCCATAACCCTGGCCCCGTACAGTGTTCCTCATTAAGTCTGAAGGCAGCTGAGATCGCATAACCGTGGTCTGAGATAGGTTCATCATGCCTGATGTGGGCGGAGTATGATAGGTAAGGTAGTAAAGATTGAGATACTAAGGCTCTGTCAATGCGGGTGCTGACTCTATGGCTTTTTGCGAAAAAACGTGTACTCCCTACAATCCGGGTGTAGGACCCGGAAGGCGTCTGATAGCTGGAAGGCTGTGTAGCGATGGAATAATCTCTCATTTTCTATGGCTTTACCATATCCTCTTGAGTTGTATAACTTCGAATTCTCTATGATGTTCAGGTCACCTATTAATAGGAGATGGCCAGAGGGTGAGATCTGGTCAAGCAGTGGTCCGAGCGAGTCTCTGAAGAAAGCGGATATGGCTGGGATGCTGGAGGGGAAGTAAACAGCCATGAGGACTATGTCTAAGCCGAGGCCTCTGACCGTGGTCTTAACTATTCTACCTGACTGGTGAGCTATAGAGTCATGGAACGTGATGGCAGGATTACGGCTAAGGATTGGCTACCCCACCGGCGCTGGTTCTAGGTGCAGTGGCTAGTATTGATGTGGCTGAGAGAGAGGTCCAGTACGGGTGGTCTGGGGCAAATCTGGTGTCAACTAATACAGCTATGTCTGATCCTTTCGTGAACCATTTCAGTACTCTAGTCTGTTTGGTCTTGTCGCCTAAGCCGTTCACGTTAAGGCTCGAAAAGTTGAGTTGGTTTTTGATATTCATGGTTCCACTGAGTTGTAACCCCTGATCATCCATAGGCTGAGAAACGAGACGGTACAGGCAACACCAACTCCTAGGCTCCAACAGGCTGCAGCATCAAGATAACGGTCAAAATCCATCACATTCCGTACCCCTTGCTGATAACAGTAAGGTTCAGCTTGTCGAGGGACTCCTTCGTGGCAGATCCGGCCTTCGCCAGCTCTTGCAGATGAGCAGCTGCAGAAATGTGATCTGCCGCTGCCATAAGGATCTTCCCCTTTGCCTTCCCACAGCCCATTTGTGTGCAGATCCAATCTTCCCTGCTGCTGCCGGTGGAGACAAGAGCGATGGCCGGATCGCAAAGAATAGGAAGGAATAACGGCGACGGTTTCAGCGACACAGCTGCGGAGATCGAAGAACAGGTTCGTAGGTGGGGTAAGAAAGCGAGAGGGGATGCGTATATAAATCTGGCTGCTGCTTTTACCGTTGAGCCTGTGCAGTTTGCCAACAATCAGGTTCCATTTGCCTACATTATTCTTCCGCTCGGTGATAAAAGCATCATGATACTTATCATAATTCTTGCCACCACAGAGCGAACAGGATAAGCAAGGGTAATGGTGTGAAAGAAACAACAGGAATGAAAGAACTAGGAAAGTGTGAGATACAAATATGAAAGCTGTACCCCTTAGTGTCTACCCCACTACAGCCTACATAGGCTAAGGCATATATATCTGACACACCCCCATAGGCAAAGTGGGGGAGAACTAGGGGTCACAAGACCAGTCAAGCAACGCAAAGCAAAGCAAGCTCAGGGTGGATCACAACGTCACCACACAGTCTGAGCACAGGGTCAAAGGCCACAAGGTCAGTTCACATGCAAGTTCATATATAAAGGTAAACAAGCAAGTACAGGTATATATAGATCACAGAACAAGCAAAGTCAAGAGGTAAGCAAGTGAGGCCAAGTAGGCACAAGACCTAGCATAGTACAGAAGCGCTGATGATCACAAGGCTGAAGTGCCTTGGTAAAGATATCAGCAGTGTTGGCCTGAGAGGCCACGTAAGCAAGGCGCAGCTGGCCACGCTGCTGCAGCTCACGAGCAAGGAAGTAGCGAAGAGCAATGTGCTTCGTTCTGTGCTCCAGTCTGTGCTCCCGACACAAGGCCAGCATGGCCTTGTTGTCTACGTACAGAACTGGAGGAGAACGAGGCGGCTCTCCCAGGTCAGTCAGCAAGTAGGTGAGCCAGCGCAACTCCTGTGCAGCCATGGCCCCTGCGTAGATCTCAGCCTCACAGCTGGAGCTGAGAACAGAAGACGAGCGGGTAGACCGCCACGAAACAGAGCCGGAACCAAAGCTGAAGGTGTAACCCTGGGACGACCGCTGCGTAGCCAGGTCTGAGAAACTGAACGAGAATGAATTGACTAAGGGAAAGTTGGGTACAAATACAAACCCTAGAAAACTGTACCCCATATGTGCTACCCCACTATAGCCTACAGTAGCTATGTCATATAAATCTGACACACCCCCATAGGCAAAGTGGGGGAGAACAAGGGGTCACAAGACCATTCAAGCAAAGCAAAGCAAGCTCAGGGTGGATCACAAAGTCACCACACATTCCGAGCACAAGTTCAAGGCCACAAGGCCAGTTCACATGCAGGATTACATATATATATAAGGCTAGACAAGCAAGAGCAGGTGTATATATATATGCAACAGTACAAACAAGGTCAAGGGGTGAGCAAGTGAGGCAAGGTAGGCACAAGACCCAGCTGAGTACAGAAGCGCTGATGATCACAAGGCGCAAGTGCCTTGGTGAAGATATCAGCAGTGTTGGCCTCAGAGGCCACATACGCAAGCCGCAGCTGACCACGCTGCTGTAGCTCACGTGCAAGGAAGTAGCGGAGAGCAATGTGCTTCGTTCTGTGCTCCAGTCTCTGCTCTCGACACAAGGCCAGCATGGCCTTGTTGTCTACGTACAGCACTGGAGGAGAACGAGGCGGCTCTCCGAGGTCAGTCAGCAGGTAGGTGAGCCAGCGAAGCTCCTGTGCAGCCATGGCCCCGGCGTAGATCTCAGCCTCACAACTGGAGCCGAGAACAGAAGACGAGCGGGTAGACCGCCACGAAACAGAGCCGGAACCAAGGCTGAAGGTGTAACCCTGTGACGACCGCTGTGTAGCCAGGTCGTCCACCCAAGACGCGTCTGCGTGACCAGTGAGGACCACTGGACTCCGCCCTCCAAGCACTAGCCCCATGCCCGACGTACTGCACAAGTAGCGCAACACCCTCTTCGCTGCAGCCATGTGCTCCGGTCTGTGTCTCCCAGGAGCAACATAGCGTGCGAGAATGCTAAGAGGGTATGCAAGGTCAGGTCGTGTGCAGGTCATCAGGTACATGAGGCAGCCAACAAGCTCTGGGTATGGGCCACTCGACTCTACGGACTCATCCGAAGGCAGAGCTGAGAGCGAGTGGCGAGTAGGCAGAGGAGTGGCCTGAGGCGAGGAGTACGTGAAGCCGAAGCGCTGAAGGACCTGCTGCACCATGTGTGACTGAGTCAGGGTAATGGTGCGGCGTGCTCTGTCCCGGGTGATCTGCAAGCCAAGGTAGCTGCGCAGTTCA